GCTAAAGGCTATCGCAGACGAACAGGCGGGGAAGATGAAGAGATTGGAGGAGGAGATGAAGAAAGTACAACAAGAGGAGGAAGAAAGAAGAAAAGTTGTTGAAGCAGAAGCGGCAGCAGAAGAAGAGAAAGAGAGGATGAGAATTGAGAGTGGAGAAGGAGTCTGATTGCATACATCCAGATACATATGAAAATATCACAATGTGCGCAGCGGAAGACTCAAAGAAATGACCTGACCTGTTAGATACCGACGCGACACCCCATCATACACCACACATGTGAGAGAGGGAGGAGAGACCACATAAATGGAAGAAAGGTGCCTCCTTGCACATGCAATGAGGGAGATACCACGGATGAAGAGATTGGGGGGAGAGGTGAGACGAAGAAGTAGTCTCCCTGCCGAATGTCCAATCAATGTCTGCCACAAAAATTTTGAGTCAGATCCTGGGCTTCATGGTCGATGTAACCTCTGCCTGTAACCTCTCTCTCTCTCTCTCTCTCTCTGAAAGGAGGAGGAGGAGGAGGAGGAAGGAGGGAGAAGAGATGGAGGGCGAGGTGAAGAAGAAGAAGAAGATGTCCTCCTCTTCATGCAGGTAACTGCCGCCATGTACTGACTGCTGTCATGGTCCCTATGCAGGTCGCCGACGTGGAGCGCGACTATGGCGCCCAGGTAAGTACCGCCGCTGCACGTATGGCCTCCGCCTCACCTCGACCTCTACAACGCAGCGATGTCTCACTGCCCCAACAGCGTGTAGCGCAAGAAGTGAGCTACTCAAACTGTGTGAGCCCTGGCCTGGGCCAGCTATGTATAGCACTGGGCCTCGCCAGTGTGTTTCTGGCCCTAGCCTGAAACGACCTGCACTATCTGGTCCCTACGGGCCGTCCAGACCTTCCTGCTAGCAGACGAAACCGAACCTGGCCTCAAAGGGCCTAGTCGTGAAGGAGACCCTTCACGACTCAGAATGTTGCCTGAATGTTGCCTAGGTCAGTCTGTTCGGACATCGCAGGTCCAAAACGACGCCTGAGCAGACAAAAATAGGACAGCAAATAAATAAATGCTGCCTCAAATCGAATCCTGCAGCCCTTAGGGCTGGCCGTGGGCCTCCAGGGCGCATGTCTGAAAGGGCGTGTGGCTTGGGGACCCCCAGCAACTGTCAGGCATCCGAAACGGGGCGCTTGTGCAGGCTCAGCATGTAACACCCCCCCATCCTTATGAAGTCAAGCCGGGTCGAAGGCGAAGCTGACGATCCGATGGTGGAACCTGGACTGGAGTATGGCGTGGAGCTGAAGGTACCGGCTTGCCTTGCTGTTTGCGTTCGTAACGTGCAAGAACATCCGGGGCTGTAGCTTGAGTCAGCCTTATGTCTACAATAAGAGAAATGTACCAAGTACTCCGTCGGCTTGGTGCTGTAGTGCCGCTGCGAGATGATGTAGCTTTACCTCCTGAAAATTGTCCATGGAGGGTGGGTCTTGCGATCGTCGCCCGGGAAAGTCGGCACAGTCTGCCGAAACGAAAAGAGCCAACCTTGAACAATGAAAGACCGGGTAGACGGGGCAAGTGGGAGGGCACCTGAATGACAAATCAAGGTCCTTCGGGTGCATCGCCAGCTGGAGAAGCGCTGCAACACTACAGCGCTACGCTGGTCGCAGAGGTAGAGGTGTAGGAAGGCAGAGGGGCGGAGGCCATATCTGCGTCGACAGTACTTACCTGGGCGCCATAGCTGAGCTCCATGCCAGCGACCTGCACAGGGACATGACGACGGTCAGTACATGGCGGCAGTAACCTGCAGGTGAGATAGTGAGGAGGACATCATCTTCTTCTTCTTCGTCTCGCCCTCCATCTATCCTCCCTCCTCCCACCTCCTCTTCTTCTTCTTTTTCAGAGAGAGAGAGAGAGAGAGAGAGAGGTTACACCGGGCATGAAGCCCAGGATCTGATTCAATATTTTTGTGGCAGACATTGATTGGACATTCAATCCTGATCCTGGTCTTCTCCCTCACCTCCATCTTCGTCTCGCTTCTTCCCCCATCTCTTCATCCGTGGTATCTCCTGATTCTCCCCCATGTGCATGTGCAAGGAGGGACCTTTCTTTCATGTATGCGGTCCCCCCTTCCTCTCTCACATGTGTGGTGTATGATGGGATGTCGCGTCAGTATCTGACAGGTCAGGTCATATCTTTGAGTCTTATGCTGCGCTACCTTGTGCTATTTTCATATGCATCATGATGTACATTGCTTGTTGATGCTTTGCCGACGCTGCATTGTCCTTTCGAGTCCTTTTCATCACTTTGCGGATCCTTGGCTCCATATACGTTGCTCAACTGAGCATGTATCAGTTGGTATCCGAGCCCCTCGCATCAATCAGGACTTCAACCTGACCTGACGCACGAAAGGGGAGGATCGATTGACTGATTGATTGATTGATTGACTAGTTAATTGCAATTC